AAGGACACAACGACCAGGACAGAGAGCCCAGGGATCGAACCGGCGACCTTCCGGTTACAGATGCGATTCCCAACCCCCTGAGCCACGGTCGCCCTGTGTGTAATCGAAGTATGTGTAACATCATCACCGATGCCAGGTTCTCTCTCCATCCCTCATTCGCAAATGCAGCAGCTTGCTTCCGGCACCGAAATGCCAGTTTCGCGGCCATATTTCCTGCCTTTGCAAGCAAAGGTGAACCTTAAGTAGCACTTTTGTATGCCACACAAAAATCACAGATCAATCTTGCCACCCCTCTGAAAATTTCCTGGCTCCTCTGCTGCTAAATTCTCTGCATTTTCTGGTTGAGAAGGGCCTAATATTAGATGACCTGTTTGTGACCTATCCATCGACAATGGATATTGTGTCAGGCGTACCTGAAGAAAGTAATTGAAAAGGTTTTGGAAAATTTGCCGACAGGTTTAAAACTGTTCGTATGGGTTGCAAAGATGCTAGACTGCAGGACGTCCAATCTCTGTGGAGACAGGCCTTTATCTACCTGAATAACCCTTCTGGAACTTTGGAGGTGTCATTTTATGTATCAGAATACATTTTACAGAGTTTATATGAGTTCTGGTAACATAAAGTGCTTTGAGTGTGGTGATGTTCAGCATATACGCTCATCATGCCCACACAGTGAGAAGGCAGCGGAGAGTAGCTCCGACATGCAGCAGCTGACAGGTAACGCTGTCAGTGACAACCTACCTGTAGGCTCGGGACCTACAGGCTGTGGCAGCCAATACTGAAAACGGTAACTTTGAATGTAATGTAAATGACATTGATAAGCAGGATCTAGAAAACCATGGGAATGAAAACAACAGGAAGAAGGAAGTGATGCTGCTGAAGGTGAGGCAACAGGCCCAGCTCCAGTGACACAAAGCGAAAATAAGTGCGAACAGGAACAGGTATGTATAAGTACGTAAGCATGACGACAAACTGTCTCAGCTTTCAGATACTTTGTCACAGGAAGATGAACAGTATTACTCAGTAAAAGAGATCAGTGAATTTCTGATACCTTTGGTAGACTAAGTGTTGAAATGATGTACTTGTTTCCTGATGTAGACCAGTTTATAAATTCAGTATTACAGTTTTTCTCAAATGTTAAAACACAAAAGCCAATCCTGTAACCCAAATGACCAGTAGTCTAAACACATTTACTAAATGTAGCCACCATATTCCAGTACCATAAACACATGTCACATGAAGACACAATTCACAAAACACAACCCTCTGTACTCATAAATCTAAACACATTTTTCCTTGCTAAAACA